GTAGGGAAAAACCAAAACTGCAACAATTGAACCGTCGGGGTTGGTGCCACATTACCACCAACACAGGCAGTCTGAAAAATCGAACCGAACTGAACTGAGTTCTATTTCAACCAAACTCCGAATTTGATTTGTATGGTCCGTTCCTCCTGATTTTGAATAAGTTCCAAAAATGCTTCTTTAGTCATTTGTTACTTTTATGAACCACAAATAGCGTCGTGGCTACAAAATTGAGGAAATTTTCGCAAATAGACAAAAATGGAGACCGATCCTTGGGAACCAAATTAAAGTTGTAATCTCATAATCTCATAAGCATTAACTCGGCCAAGAATAGATAAAAGAAAGCTTAAAACGGCAATAAATTAAAAGAAAAAACAATGCACAAGAAGAAATGCAAGTAAATTTGAAGGAACAAGAGTCCAAGGATCAGTTACAGTTGGAAATAGGAAGGGTGTGTTTTGTGGAAATTTCCAACTTCTGTTAGAATATTAGTCGGAAATAATAGGTGTCATGCAAATGGGGTGGTCTATAAACATTTGTTGCTCAATTGCTAATTGATCCGTTGTTTATTTATTTGAAAATAGTAGTAGAAATAAATATTTTCTTCCCCACTAAATATCAAACAAGGTAACTTGTTATGCCGGTTTCTCAACTTTGTGGATCAAGAGAAAGAAAACTGGCAACATAGACCAAACTGAGATCAAACCAATACACTTTCAAATATCACTAAATGGGAGAAAAGAAAGTTAACGGACTAGATCAAAGTTAGATCTAGGTTTTGATCTCCAATCTCGCCAAGCCAAATCAAACCCAGACTTGAAAGTTGAAACTCATTAGGTCATCTGGGTTGCACACTTCACTAATATTCAGATTTGACATTCATGAATACTTCACTCATCAAGCCTTGTGGGGGGATTGTTGAGAAAATGGGGCTGTTTTTTGAGATTTATATAATCTGAAATCGACAAGGCAAGCCTTTGAGTTTCAGATGGCGGCGGAGGAGCGCGAAGAAGAACGCGCCACCGGCTCACGCTGCCGCCGATATGATGGCTTCTTAGACTGGGATGGGCGGGCATGGCTCTGTGCTGATTTGGTGGCTCATTAATAATATAAGAGGATGTTTGTTTCATGTATCCGTCATTGGTTATAAATTATGATTTATAGTTTTTTACAGTGTTTTTTTTTTCAAAAAAAAATTAAATTTCAAAAGTTAGAATTATGAATTATAATTCTGAATCTATGAACTAAACGGGCCCTAAATGATTTTTATTAAAAAAAAAAAAAACTATGAAAGTGCATTCACGTTGTAGCAAAAAAATTGAATTTAAATTTTTGTAATAAAAAATACTGTAACAAACACTAGAATTGTGATTTGACTAGCGAAATAAATAGTCTTAAAATCAATCATTAAACAAAATTTTAAGATTTTTTTTATTTATCTTTGATAAATAAAAATCTTGTTTAAAAATGAAAATGTTAAATTTAAATTAATGGGTTTAAATTAAAATGAAAATTTCATTTTAACCAAGACAAGATGACAAAAATAACCTCATATTATGCACCAAAATTAATCATGTATCAATTTTTGTCCAATATTCTAATGGAAGAAGAATTTTTATTAATGTTTTATTTTTTAGGGCGGCATATATGTTTCGTCTTATAAATTTAGAAAGGAGAGAGAGATTAATAATTTGTTCACAACTCTTTTTAGGACATAAAATCTCTCCATATCATTCCCTTTTAGTGTAAAAATATGTTAAAAAGGAAAAACATAAAATTGGAAGAAAAAACATAAATGCTAAAAATAACGTCATTTTTCTTGCCTCCCTCTTACGTTCTCTTTTTATTTTTTATTTTTGCTTATGATTTTTTTTTTAGTCTTTGATTATATTTTTAAGCAGAGAGGGAGAAAATAATATTTTGTATCCCAAAAAAGATCTTAAAAAACCCCATAACATTTTGTTTTTAGCCATAGGGTAATGAGATTATTAAACACAAAGGTATCAATATGGTGAAGACAAAAATTATAGGGTTCAACTTCATATTTGTTATGAAACTTGTTATGGTTTCATGTTATTTAAAACTTAAAAAAGGAAAAAAAAAAAAGTTGATAAACAGTACCACGTCAAAAAAAAAAAAAAAAGAGAGAAAAACTTATCTATGAAATTAGTTGTTGATCTACGTTTCACATGGCGCCTGATTCCATGTGTAGTTTCATTCGACATTGTGATGGAGGACATAGCTTACGTTCATTGACTTTGATCATGCCACTACGCATTTGATTAGCACATTGCACAATGATCCGAACACTTTGTCACATACATTGCACAATGATTAGGACATAGCGATCTCGTCATAGATCTTATGTTGTATCTTGATCATGAGAGAATTTGTTGATGTTGCACCCACGAGGTATAGAAAGTGCTAAACATTGAGATTCGGGAAGAAGTTAGAATAGAAATAAAGAGAAGCGAGAACTGCTTAAATAGAGGAATCGGTTGTTTCTTATTAAGTTCACATCACAGGGTAAAATGCACTCTTTTGAATGACCATTTCAATTGAATTGTGAGGATATTGAAAAAAAAAAGTATTTATTTTTAATGTTTATGTTAGGTATGTTAGATGCTATTAGTGAAAGTGGGGAAGATATTCTCAAATTTTTGTGTTTTTAGACTTGATCTACCTATGCTATATATTTTAAATGAGAAATTTTGTTCATATCTGATCAACTAATAAAATCACGCTCTATTCTTTCATTTGTTAAGTCAGATTATATTTTTCTGATCTTTTTCCTAAATCTAACTCTATTTTGATGGACAGATATACCAACTCAATCAATAAATGAAGTGTGCAATCATTTATTAAATTATTTCTGAATACGAATTAGATCTCTAGCTTATCTTTTAAATGAGAAAAGCTGTTCATGAAAGTTCATCAGTTTAATTTTTACTTTGATTTCCATAGCCATATAGTACCAGAAAAACAAAAATTCAACACAATAAAAAGGAAAAAAAACAATTTCTTATTCAGAAAATAAATAGTCTCCTAATTTCCTCTTTTTTTTTTTTTTAGTTTTTTGTGACATCAACTGTTAATCGACTAATTGATAGCATGCTTAATAACGTAATACTTTTTTTTCCTTAATAAACAATGTCTTCATTAAAAAAAAAAAAAAAAGAGGCGCCTTAGAAAAATGCTTCAAAAAGAACGCATCATGGGCAGTTGTATTTATGTGAATTCTTACAAGAGAGTCATTAATATTCAAATAATTACGAACCGCCGGTATTTTGCTTGCGAAGAAGTTCATCACAGATTTAACCAAACATTAATGGAAGGTTTTTTAAAATTGTTTTTTTTCCCCCCTTCATGAACGCGTCCTTTACTTTGTTTAGCGTTTAAAACTAAGGGCTTATTCTTTTAAAGTTTAACTTGAGTATAATTTTTGAGTTGAATTTGAGTTATAACTTGAGTTAAACTTGTAACTTGAGTTTATGTTTGGTTGTGTACATTTGAGTTATGGTTTGAGATAAGAATCTTTGTGAGTTTGTGTTTGAGTGAGTTAAAACTTGAATTTGTATTTAGATAGTATTTTAATAAAAACTCAATGCTGATGAAAAATTTTAATAGGATATATGAGTCGGGTTTTATTCGTCTTTTCGTTGTCAACGCATAGAAAAAAAAATCATCTCAATCAAAATTAAAACAAAAAAGTTATAGCATTTTTAAGAATAGAAAAAATATTGTTCATTAATTTGAGTTCGAGTTGGGAAACTTGAACTCGAGTTTTAGTCCTAAACTCGAGTTTGAACTCGAGTTTAAACTTAAAAGAACATGAACTCAAATAAAATTGTAACTCGAACTGCCTTTTTTTGAGTTTTTCACTCAAAAGAACAAGCCCTAAGAATCTAGATATATATACTCAAAGATATGCATGTCTTCCAAAGCTTTAACCCTTAATATCGCTCAAGTGATTGGCCTAGTAAATTATTCCATCTCAGGAATATGTCGTAGAAGATTGAGACGTTAAGAAACTTGTCCCTTGGACCCCAGTAATGGAGACGGCGATTCTCTTAAAAATACGTACAGGACGGCCAACTGGACGTTGAAGAACTGGCAATTAATACAAACGTAACAGGCTTAGCGGCTTTGGTCACAACTTTCATATCAGAAATAAATGTTACTTGGGCTGCACACGATTGAAAACAACCAAAAAAATGTGGCACTTTATAGCGTGGATGAAGATGTAATTTATTGTGTGGTACTCTGTATATAATACTTCAATATGAGATAATG